TAACTTATTACAGATAATTTTATTAAATCACAGATGCACATTGCAATCCCAAAGTAATATGGCTCCAAACTCGATGTTCTTTACCACCATGCAATGTTGCTATTTGTCAAGTGAATATTTTTGCCACTACATGAAGTTGCAATATTGACAATAATGTATAACATCAGTATGATTTTAGTCAAATCCATGATTGCACTGAGAAATCCCTGAGATTCCAAGGTCTGCCCTGTTCACAACCTCTTCTAAGTTGCCAGAGATGGGTCCTTCCATATAATTTGTGGTACCCTGTGGTACATAGGCCACAAATGATTGTACCAGGGATATATGCCCTAGTTAAGGGAAGCCAACCATTTGACTAGACATAAGGGAGGCCAGTAGCAGAATGACCCAGTAGAATAATCTCTGCCCACCTAGGTGGCTCTGTTTGGGATTATAATGAACAGAATCAATCAGACCCTCTTTGGGGGACAGTAGAGGATAGTAGAAGTAGCAGAGCAGGAAGTAGGCAGAGAAGTTGGAGAACACATGAATAAGGTACATATTGTGACCACACAACACTGCACAACCACTTTGAAAGTGAGGACACAGCTCAGCCATCTAGTTCTATTTCTCACTAGATGATGAAATTATTTTCCAACTCTCCAAGAAGCCATGACTTGGATGAGGCCATTTCCTTACTTGACTGTATTCTTACAATAAGCCTCCAACACTTAAGGTAACGTGAGTGTGCGTTTGTTCCTTGCAACCTGAAAGAGCTTGTCCAAATTTGTCTTAAAAAAAATAAAAATCCAGACTTGCAATATAGCACATTAGAATAAATAATTCAGGCATAGATAATGCCACATAAAAAGGGATTATACAACCTGAAGTCTAGGCTTTGACATTTACTTTAATATGGGGAATAAGAAAAACGCAATGAAAATTACTACACAATTGTTCAAAAGATAAATGGAAATGTGAATAGTTAAGCACCCACAGAGTTCTCTCAATGCCATTTAAAAAGCAAGCATTCTTCAAATTGTACTTTAATTCAAGAATCAAGGCTAAGTGAGGAAGGCATTTAGTAAGGATGCTTATTTTTTCAGGTTCTTTATATCAAAATGAAAGTAATTTTCACCCCAGTTCATTTTTGAAGACAATGCAAAGATTTTCTCTCTCTCTCTCCCTGTGTGTGTGTGTGTGTGTGTTATCTTTTCATCTTAACCAAAGTAGATTTTTGGGAAGAGGATATATACTGTACCTAATGACTTGGAAAAAGGAAACTGGGGTCTCTTTCAGCTGTCAATCAAACCATAGGAATTTGGTTTCTCATCAACTTGAGGAGCTGTGTAAATACATATAAGCTTTCAATTATTATGACTTAAGAAAATTGCCTCAACAGTCTTGTTAAGCACTAATAATGGTTTAACTGACATCCGACTACTTTTTTAAAGCTTATTCCAGCTGTAATTGTTTTGAAGGTTGACATTCACATCTGCATTTTCAGTGCACCTACACCGTTCTTAATATTCCCAAATAAGCCAGCAAAATCATTCTGTACCATTTAAAGCTTTTAATGCTATTATAATGCCTATTATAGCACTATTCTGGAAGATCTCTGAAAAAGACAGTCTTTTTGCCCAGTTATTTCATTATCTTCCCTTTGGCTCACAAATGGCCCAACTGTGTCTGTCCCGGGGGACAAACTCTTTAAACTAGGAATTTTCCCTCACTGAATATATCCATTTACAGTCAGAAAACCTTTAAGGTACTAACAGGGATGGGTTATAAACTCATATGGGATTAGAGAACTCATAATAGTACTACAAAAGAAAATAAAGACAACACACTATGAATTTTTTTTTCATAGAGTACTACAATTTCCAAGAGTTTTTTTCAAGAAACTAATTTTTTTTTTTAAATATTGAGTCCAACCCAGGTCCTTGTGCATAGTAGGAAAGAGATAAACCACTGAGCTACATACCCAGCCCCACATATTGGGATTTCTGAAAGTAAAGTGGTATATAGTTTTAAAATAAAGCTTACGTTGACATATACTGCCACAAACCTCTCCCCCCACAAAACACTAACTCAATAAATATTTAATATTGAGCTGGATACAATGGTACACACCTGTAAGCTTAGTGGTTCAGGAGGATAAGGTAGGAAGATCAAAAGTTCAAGGACAATTTCATCAATTAAGTGAGGCCCTAACCAACTTAGCCAGACCCTGTCTCAAATTTAAAAAAAAAAATTTAAAGGGCTGGAGATGTGGCTCAGTGGTTAAGCACTCCTAGTTCGATCACTGATACCAATAAATAAACAAATAAATAATACTGAGATCATGTACTTATGACTTAATGCACTTACTTTATTATAATCAAGTTGGTAATTTAAAAATAGCTTAATAGGTAAGCTATATTTGAATATCACCTTTTAATTCTGATAACATTGTTATATAAATGTCTTATTTACTGTTCAATAAACTCCACTTTCATTCACACTTAAAGTAAATCTATCAAGTGAATCATACTTTATCTTCAAAGTATACACAACAAAATTCTCTAGCTTAACCACTGCACTGTCAGATATACTATGTAATAACTCGCTTAACACAATTTTGTTACTCTTACCTATAGTTCTGCTAAGCTTCAAGGTGTATTCAATTGACAATCATAAAAATTGAAAATGGGAGTAATTTGCAAATACTATAGGAATGCAGACTGACAGTTCTTTTAGAGAAAAATTTGGCAGTTAACAAAATTTTATATGTACAGTTTAACCCAGCAGATTCACATGCAGATTCATCCAACAGAAATACCAATACAGTGCCAGGCATGGTGGTGCATGCCTGTAATCCCAGCAGCTTGGGAGACTGAGACAGGAGGACGGTGAGTTCAAAGCCAGCTTCAGCAAAAAATGAGGCATTAAGCAACTCAGTGAGACCTGTTTCTAAATAAAATACAAAATAGGGCTGGGGATGTGGCTCAGTGGTCAAATGCCCCTGAGTTCAATCCCTGGTACCCCATCCCCCAATAAAAAAGAAAACCAATACAGGTGAAACGAGATATAAACAGGTAAATGAAACACTGTTGGAAACAGTGACAAATGAAACCTGTAAATAAAGTTCACACAGCAGGCCTGAGATTTCCGCCCTTAGAAAGGTCGACTTCCAAGGTTGGCCCTTGGCTAGCATCTGGGATGTTGGCTGGTGAAATTGTTCCATACTCTTACATACAGCTTTCCTTAAAAATCTAAACCCAGAGACTGGGGTTGTGGCTCAGTGATAGAGCACTTGCCTCACACGTGAGGCACTGAGTTCGAGACTCAGCACCACATTTAAAAAAATAAACAAGTAAATAAAGGTATTGTGTCCACCTACAGCTAAAAATATTCTTAAAAAAAAAAAAAAATATATATATATATATATATATACACACATACACACACCTGGATATATGACACTATCATGGAAATGATGAGGCAACAATATAAGCCAAAGCCACCTAGTATTAGGACTCAACTAGTCTTAAAATAAACTTTCCTTACTGTTTAAGACATTTTTTAGTTTTACTACTTAGAGTCAAAAGCACTCCTCTGGATTTCCATTTCTGTTGGCTTATATAAAAAGATAAGAAATTATAGGCCTGAACTCTAGGTTTATATCCAACACATTACTTACTAACTTCATAAATGTGAGCAAAGCACATCCCATCCTAAAGTTTCTTTGTTGTACAAGTGAAATGACATCCTGTATTTTATAAGTACTACTGTAAAAGAGATTGCAACTCAGTGCATTAGCTGGACAATACTGGTAAATGACAAGAATGGGAGCCTAACTAGAAAAGGATATATTCCATGTTTGTGTAATTATATCAAAATGGATTTTACTGTCATGTACAACTAAGAAAACCAATACTTTTAAAAAATATTTATGATCAGACAAGTTCTAGCAAATAACCGGGTATAAAGTGGCCAATAGTACAACCACACTGGATGTTCCAATCTTAAGAATCCCAGAAGCCCTGCCCATGTCCAGATCATGAAAACAGCCCCAACTATTACCAGACACATCTGATGTCAGTTAAGGGAAACACCTGCTTTTAGTAACTAATATGATAGCATGAATTTTTTGATTATTTTTTTAAAGGGAGGAGAGAGAGAGAGAGAGAGAGAGAGAGAGAGAGAGAGAGAATTTTTTAATATTTATTTTTTAGTTTTCGGCAGACACAACATCTTTGTTTGTATGTGGTGCTGAGGATCGAACCCGGGCCGCATGCATGCCAGGCAAGCGCTCTATCGATTGAGCCACATCCCCAGCCCCAATAGCATGAATTTTAATAAACACAAGTTTTATTAGGGTCAGCATTAGTATGTTAATGCAAAAAGATTACATACAAGATACACATTTTCACTCCACAGAACACTCACAGATTTGGATTTATTCTTCAACCAAGACTTTAATTCCTAACTTACAATGTGGAAAACAACATGAAGCATAATCAACAGAAGTCAGGTTGAACCAATCACATGGTATGGAAATGATCTGCTACTGGCAGCAATCAAATATCATAGCTCAAGCAATCTCTATTTAAATGTCTGCAATAAGAAATTAAGAGTGGTCCATTCATGAAGCTATAGAAATATTTTCTGTGATTACCAAATATTCTGTACCAGAGATACATTCTGAACTTTATATTACTCCTAAAGGTTTTATTAGAAATAATACTTAAGTATTATGATTAAATAGTTTATTGACTACTCTTTATATCTATATGAACACAAATGTACATATATACCACATATACACAAACATAGATGAATGCATACACGTATTTATTTGACTAAGGAGGGCTTTAAAACAAGCACTAAAGAATATGTAATTAGGTCTGTAATCCCAGCAACTTGGAAGGCTGAGACAGGAAGATTGAGAGTTCAAAGCCAGCTTCAGTAAATTAGCAAGGAACTTAGTAACTCAGTGAGACTCATCTCTAAATAAAATATTTAAAAAGCTTGGGGGATGTGGCTCAGTTGTTCAGCCCCCTGGATTCAATAATCCCCAGTACACCCCAACCAAAAAAAAAAATTAATTGAATTAGAAAATGAGTTGTGAACTTAAGTTATTAAATCACATAAGCTATTGAGCTTCATATTTGATATTGAACTTCATAAGTGTTGTTAAAAAATAAAGCAAATAAGGCAAAATTTTTATTGAACTTAACCATACAACAGAAAAACTAGTAAATATACATCACATACAAATCTATTACCATATAATAGATACAAAATTCACTTATATGTAATAAATATTCATATTTCAATAAAAAATTTAAATAAGTTAATATCAGAATTGTGAGACAGTAGGCTATCACAAAAAGTTATAGGAAATGGCAATAATCTGCAAATAACAGGATTATTTCTATTATATTCTAAATGCAAGTTTTATCTCTACTTATATAGATTTTATAACAGAACATTAAAAATTAAATTTCAGAGTAAATTCCTAGTCCAACTCTTAAACTATGATAAGATATTCCCATTTCAAAGAAATTACTGTTTCCCAGAAGAATTATTTTCAATACTGGTAGTCCTCCTATTCACAAAATATAAACCTTTTCTTCTGTCAGAAAGCTCAAAATGTAAAACTTTACATCAGGCTCTTCATTCAGTGTTTTCTTTTCCTCTTGGGTACAGTGAACTCTGAAGACATAAAGTTAAGAAGTTAGTCAGTTCTAAAGAAAAAAACTGACACTTAAATGATAGTAATTAATAATATACACTTAAACTATATGGCCATTTAACTGGCAGAATGCAAGAATGCCCTCACAGCAAAGATGCAAAAATCTGAAGTCTGACATGCACATGAATTTTCTTCTTCAAAGTAATACTGCAATTTAAAACTCACTGACTCCATTGAGACAGTAATATCTCAATCTCATTGAGATGCCAATCTATTGAGATAATGGATCTTAGTCATCCTAAATGCTACTTAATATTTAGTAAGTTACTCTGAAGATGTTTCATAGAGGTCTGCCCTCCCTATAATTAGCGTTGACCTAGGGTGCCATATTTGAAACATGTCTAGGCCAATGCTATGAGGGATTAAATGTCTAAGGCTTAAATTTCAATTACACCTGAAAATATAACCCAAAACACTAGTATCATACGTCTTTCTGGCTACTATAGCAGACGTCATAATCAATAGCTTTAAAGTATCACCCATTTTTAATAGAAGACACAAAAACATGAAAATTAGGAAAGACTGTGTATTCCACCAAGGAAAAACACAAAAGGAATGGCAGGGAAAGGGAAAAAAAATTAGGACAAAAAAGAAACAGTTTCCTAGAAGAGAGTGGAACAAGGATGAAAAGTACAGCAAGCCAAGAAAACTCTGTCCAGATGACAGAGCAGAGGTCTGGCACAGTTTTCTCTAACAAGATGAAACTGATGGATCCTAACAGATAGCTGTATTCATTCATTTATTGTATTTCAAAGTGTCATATTAATGGTATGATTAATACTGAAATTCCTCAAGAGCCAAGACAGAAGGATCACAAGAACACACAGCCAACTGTCATGTTTTCCAAGAATTCTAAACCTTAATGATCTGTGAGCATATTTCCTTCATTAGTTTGACAAAATTTCATCTGTACCTGTTTCACTAAAATCTTCTGTCTCCTCTTCCTCTTCTGTAATTACAGGCATACTCAGACTTAAAGACTTTTCTTCCTTATGTACATTCTTCACATTACCTGTAAACATTTAGAAATATTTGGAAAAATGATTTTATATGAAAACAAAGAATATTAATCTGTAAGAAAATTGTACACAAATAATGTTATTCCAGGAACATAAATACTAGAATGGTTTCAGTTTTGGTCTGAACCCAAAACTGAAATTATAATGGTAAACAGAAATATGCATTCTAGAATACATATTTTTTAAAGAATGACCATATCCATATCTATGCTTTAAAAATAGTCTATAATTCTTCCACTAAAGAGAACAGAGGAAAAAGAGAAGAAACAAAATTAGCCAAAAACAGATGCCTCATTTGATCTTTATCACAAATATCTGCACACATCAAAGAATTACCACATGGGTCACATCAATTTTATCTGTTAATCACAAATTAATGTTAAAGTTGAACAGCCTTCTGTTTTTAGTTTTGCAGGTTGTGTGTGTGTGTGTGTGCTCAAGACTGAACCCAAGGCCTTGTGCACAATGAGCATGCATTCTACCACTGAGCTACATCCCCAGCTAGCCTTATTTATTTATTTTTGGTGGTGCTGGGGACTGAACCCAAGGCCTTGTGCATGCAAGACCAGCACTCTACCAACTGAGCTATATCCTCAGCCCCTAGCCTTATTTTTGAAGACACATTTTCTTCTTCCAATATATATGTTCTACAAGATATATTTCTCCAGTCAAAATTTACCATTGACTTTCCATTTAAAAAAAAAACAACTAGATATTTTCTACATAAACTTTTGTGCTTGAAGAAATAGCCTAATTAATCAATTACCACTGTCATATCAGGTGCAATTTAACACCCAATTTTCATGTCCCCGAAGCAACCCCCAAACACATTTTTGCCAGTTGTTTTCCACAAAACCTGGACCACTTCATACATTGTTTATTAATCCATTTCTTCACAGTCTGCATCGTCCCACTAGAATGTAAGTACCACAGGATAGATTCTGTTTTGCTTACATGATGTATTATTGATGTTTGCCCAATATCACGGCATATGGAAGTACCTGGCATAGTAGGGCCTCAATACATTTACTGAATGAGTAAATAAGGATTCAATATGATATTTCATACTACAGATATGTTAATATCTATTAATCCAGGAGGCAAGAAATTTAAAAACATGAGTTTAAGCTTTCCACTCTGATGCATATAAAAAGGGCTGGGTTTTAGGTTTTTTTCCAAATTTTTTTTTTTTTTTTTTAGTTGTAGATAAACACAAAGTTTTATTTATTTTTATGTGGTGCTGAGGATTAAACCCAGGACCGCACACATGTGAGTCAGGCACTTTACCACTGAGCTACAGCCCCAGCCCAGGGCTGGGATTTTACTGGGGTATAGATTTTGTGGAATGGAGACTGCTCCAAGGTAAAGTTGAGTAACCTATAGTAATATGCTTCCATTTTGTTTTTGTTTTTTACTGGGGATGGAATCCAGGGGCTCTCTATCATTGAGCTACATCCCTAGCCCTTTTGTTTTTTATTTTGAGACAGGGTCACACTTAAGACTCCACTTAAGACCATAGGTTGCTTAAACTGCTAAGGCTGGCCTTGAACTTTCAATCCTCCTGCCTCAGCCACCCAGGTTGCTGGGATTACAGTTATGCACCAACACACAGAGCTAATATGCTTCCATTTTAAAACATGATTCAAACTTAATGAAATATCAATTTACACTAAGTCATTAAAATAGGATTTACCCTTTATTTGCAAGTACTAAGTATTTGGGGTTTTTTGTTGTATGTTTGTTTTGTGGTGCTAGGGATTGAAACCAAGGCCTTGTGCATACGAGTCAAGCACTCTACTAACTGAGCTATAATTTCAGCCCTGCAAGTACTAAGTATTATACAAAATGACTTTTTATTTGATCGTTAAGCTGGCAGATAAATTTCTAGGAAACCTCTTTCCATAGCTTATATCTTTTTTTAAGAATTTGAACCCATAAATTTTTTCAGTTGTTCACAAAACAATAATTAGTACTACCTGCCCAAAATTACTAATATTGTTCTTCACAATCTTTTAGCCATCTTCATTTATATTGTCAATGTTTTTAAAAATCCGTATTTACCTAAAAGAATCTATCCAACAATGTCAAGGGAAGGATTTCAAGTTAAAAATGACAGCTGAGAAGCAAAGTGTCACCTTGTTAGTGGAGGATTAATAAGGTTTTAGAGATCTATCTCTGTTAAATCAATCAGTGTTCTCTAAAAAACTCATAACAAATACAGTGTTTTACCTACCTAGAGGGCAGCCAGAAACCAAGAATCACACAAAACTTCAGGATGTTTACCTCAAGGTCCACCTACTCACAAGTGTGTTCCTCAGACCTTTACTTAGAACTCATTACATTTATTGGATATAAAACTGAAATGAATGGTTAACCAGTTTCCTAGGCCATTAAAAGTATAGAGGCAGCAAAAAATTGCTTTATGGCTGCACACTGAGAATAGAAAGAGACCCAGTTATAGTATAGGTCACAGAAAACCATTAAAAAAAAATAAGGCCTAAGTATGAAGTACTGCAGCATTAAGCCATTTAGTATAAAATAAATTGCCCCACATAGTTACAATACTTCTTGATAGGATTACTGTGTTATAAAACTCAGAAAAATAATATGTTCATGATAATAACCACAAACCATCAGGAGAAATTAAATTATGTTCAGGACATAGTGACCTAGAAATGAGAGCATAAAATACATTTTTGATTATTTTCCTGCATATGAAAATGATAAATGAACCCTAGGAAACAAGAAATATCAAAAGAAAACAATATATTTTACAAAGGTATCAAAAATAATTTTTTAAAGTAATTAAAATTTTTAAAAATATTTTTTTAAGTTGTAGACGGACACAATATCTTTATTTTTGTTTGTTATTTTTATGTGGTGCGAGGGACCGAACCCAGGGCCTCATACATGCGGGGCAAGCGCTCTACCTCTGAGCTACAACCCTAGCTCTTAAAATTTTTAAAGTAACTTTTGACATTTAAATTATTAACCTCCAGTATCCACAAAACTAATTCCCCAGAAAGTGTCAGATAGATAGTTTTATACCATGATCAAAGCTACTCTCTGTGGAATGCAACCATCAGTTATAGATCAAATGGCTACTGGACATGCAGCTAGAATACAACTAAGAATGAACTTAATTTAAATGCATGTCTAATTTGAGTTGCAGATCCACATATTCAATTACCTGAGAGGTAGCACAATTAACAACTCAGGTCTGGATTCAGGTAGACTCATACAAGTCTTGGTTTTGCTATTTATTAGCCGTGTGACCCTGAACCTGTGAGAAAAATGTTAGTAGGGGGCAAGTGTTACATAATCACGGTTGTCATCATCTTTACCATCCTATTATTACTATTACTGATGTCCTTCAGACAACACGCATGTTACATTCTAGGAATGATGAACAAGTACAATTGAAACTGAAATAATACAAATAAATTCAATCAATATACTAGGCACCTATTTATGTGCCAGACAGCTATTACAGGAACCGAATCTGGCAAGACAGCCTGAGGCAAATTCTCCTCAAAATGAAATGCTCATCATACTATCCATGTTTCTCCAACTTTCTCCCAACTGCTTAGGCATGCAGCATTCTTGTCTCATCCCTTTCCTTCAGCCCTCATGTTTGCTCTCACAGCTATTAGCCTCTCTGCAAATTCCTACAACTACCTGGTTAGATAGTCATTATTCCCAAACCTGAACTATTATGTCAGCCTTCTACATATTCCTTTTTTCAGCCTGTTATCTCCTACCTACCATAATACTCCCAGATTGATCTTTTTTAAGGAAAACCCCTTCTGGCTCCACTTTCTTTCAAAAGTTTTAGAAGACCCTTCAGCTACCAAATTAATTTTAAACTTCTTCATTGCACGCTTAAGGCCAAGTCACAATACAATCCAACACATTTTTCCAGCATTATTAATAGTGAAGACATCTTTTTTATCCAACCAAAATGAAACCCTCACTCTATGTCCCAGGTGCTTTGTCTTTTTTTTCATGCTGATCCCTCTGCTCGTCTTAATCTATGCGCTTTCTCTACCTTTTTAATAACTGTGAAGTACTCCTATATAGGATTGACAATAATTTTATCTACCCAAATTTTTAAATATTATACATTTGAGTTGTTTATAGTCTTTGCCATTTCAAACAATCCTACAATGAATGTCTTTATGCATTTGTCATTTGAACAGAATGAATTCCTAGAAATTGAATTTCTTAGTTAAATGGCATGCACAATGACAGATGATTTCAAATTGCTGTCTTAAAAGGATGTGCCAATTTACTCTCCCACTTAAATTCAGTAATTTTTATGTCCTCACACCTTCATTATCATGAGTATTCAGTTACCTTAAATCTTTGCTGACCTATCAAATAATATCAAAATCATGTTTTAATTTATACTTCTTTAATGATTAACAAAATTAAATATCTGTGTTAGTCAGCTTTGTGTCATTATGACTAAAATACCTGACAAGAATAACTTAGAGGAGGGAAAGTTTATTTTAGCTCACAGTTCCAGAGGTTTAGTTTATGGTCAGCCTAGTCCAGCTCTAGGCCCAATGTGAAACAGAACATCAAGGGAGAAGTGGGTGTGGTAGAGGAGCACTGCTCCATTCATGGCAGCAAGGAAGCAGAAAAAGGGGAGGTAGGAAGGAGCTGCGGGGAGGATGAACTCTTCCAGGGCAAATCCCCACTGACCTACCTCCTCTAGCCATGCCCCACCTACCTACAGTTACCACCCACTAGTCCATCCAAACTAGGATGGACTGATTATATCACAGTTCTCACAATCTAATTATTTTACCTCTGAATATTCCTGTATTAACACAGGAGCTTTTTGGAGGACATGTCATATGCAAACAATAACACTCTTCATGTATACAATTACATTTCATTTTGTTTGTGAATTGCCTATTCATGTCCTAAGCCCATTTTTCTACCGGGTCTTATTCTTATCAATTTCTAAGAGCTCTTCTAAAATTAG